CCATGTTTAAGACGTTACACAGCTTTCATGTGTGTTAGATTGCATGGCTAATGAAATTGTTACATGGATAACAAAGTAAAAACAAGCATAACCAAAATATTAGGATTTCGAAAGACTCAGAACAATGTGTGCTTCAATTAGAACACTGTATTACTCCATAAAAATTCTTCAGTGAGTCTGAACACTTTCAGAGGACTCCAAAATCATATTTAGCTTTTGCCTCCCCTAAGTCTGTCTGTGCCCCTTTCCAATTTTCAATATGCCATTCCCAATACTAAGAATACATAGTAGGAGCCAAAAACAAATAAATTTTAAAATCTAAGTTTCCCCCATAGCAAAAACACAGTAAAGTTTAACAAACTCAGTGCAAAATCCCAAACCCTGATGATTTCTTTCTGTATGCTTAATAATCACATAGAAACTTACCTGTTCCTCCAGATCATTCAATTCCATTTCTTAAAAACCTCATGTTAAAATATCCTAACAGGTCAATAAACTGCTAAGCACCTCATATCCTTGAGAAAGATTTCAGATTCTAATACATCCTGCACTCCTGTTTCCACACTGACTTGTGATCCTGTTTTTGACACTTGTGTGGTAAAGGGGTGCTACAGGTGGAGTCGTGACAACCAACCAATTATCCAATTTCATGGACCTCACTCCCTATGAAATACAGTTACATATGTAGGTACATAGTTATATACATAAGCATGTATGTGTTTTCTTAAATACTATATATATACATATACCACTATCCACTTAAAATCTACAAACTGAAAAAGAAAAACAATGAATTTGATAACTAATAAAAAAAAAGTGTTTTATACCAGAGTCCATTCATACAAAGTACATGATTTCCACCATGGAAAAGATATTCAAAGATTGTTCTCTAAAGCAAGACATGGGATTCTACTGTCTTATATAGAACCTATTTTCAAGGAAATGAGAATGAATGCTGTTAGTGTTCGTGATAGGTACTAGAAAATATCCAAGAACACAGGAAACATGCTAACTGGTAAACCTTGTCCACAACCTAGAAACTGATTTTCCTTATGAAGGGCCCCATTGAAAAGCTATAAGTACTAGTTGCTCCTGTTTAATTAAACAGGTAGTATCACAGGTTATAAGATCTAGCTCTTTGGAAGAAAATCAAACAAAACTGTTGAGCCAGATTGTCATTCTGTGTGCTGGTGATGTAAGAGTTTTTCTCAGAACATATTGAAATCAAGAACTACCTGTTGAACAAGATCTGGGTAATTTCCATGGCTTATTCCCTGTGTGAATGAAGCGTTCTAGTTAAGATATGTAAGTGTTGGGGGTCGGCGTTGTGGCTTAGCGGGTAAAGCTGCGGCCTGCAGTGTCAGCATCCCAGACGGGCTCGGGTCCCAGCTGCTCCACTTCCAACCGAGCTCTTTGCTATGGCCTGGGAGGGGAGAGGAAGAAGGCCCAGGTCCTTGGGCCCCTGCACCCGTGTGGGAGACCAGGAAGAAGCTACTGGCTTCAGATCAGTGCGGCTCCAGCCATTGCAGCCAAATGGGGCGTCAATCATTGGATGGAAGACCTCTCTCTCTCTCTCTCTCTCTCTCTCTCTCTCTCTGTGTAACTCTGACTTTCAAATAAATAAATCTTAAATAAATAAATAAATAAAAATAAAGCATATCATAAAAATATTTTTAAAAGATACGTGTTACAACTCAAAGTAGTTTATCAGTTGTAAAATAGATAAAACGTGTTTATTTCTCTTCTTGAACAAAGAAAATATGTTCTATATGAAATCTACCTAAAATTATCAGTAAGTTGAAACAATTACCTGAAACATTTAGGTAAGAAAATGAAATCCTTTCCCTTAAATCTAACCTCAAATTTTCCATTTACTCAGCTATTCCAATCTATAATATGCTTGCTAGATTTACTCAAGTTGCTAAAATTCTAAATCTGACAGAGCTCTTGAAAACATTTAGTCCAAGGGTTATGAACATAAAGCCCTAGAGTGGCCAAGTGGCCAAGGGTAAGTGTAGAAAATTGAAGAGTGCATATCTAATGTTGTTATTTAAGAAAGAGGGACTCTATGAAGAGACTTTAAAAAGTTCATGAGAATGAATTATAGATCAGTTTACTTTGGTGCATAAAGATAAAGGCTAATTTAATGGTAAGACTACAATGTCCTACCTTGAGAATCATTATGCACCTATTGCTGGGGTTGTATGGCAGAGCCCCCATGCATATTATGTATTCAATAACATGAATTTTCTGAAAAGGTTTTGAAGCACTTTTGTCTTCTAATTTTTAAAAGAATCCAAAATCCTGATTTTTATTTGAACTCACCTTTTAAATGTTGGTAATTTACACATAATTCTATTAAGTAATGCACAAACCCACTTTGATTAGCGGCTGTGATTTAGTCTCAGCTTCTGTTATGAAAGTTTTAAAACTGAGACTCTTCAGAGAGTAAGTAACTTTCCAGGATCACAAGAAAATTAAATACAATATTTCATGTCTACAGAATTTCAACCAAAATGATTCAAGTAAAATGCATTTCACTATATTTACTAAAACCACAAACATTAACATACTTTATACTTTATTAAATAGTATATTCTAAAGAGGCAAATATCATGTTCCTGATTGGTAAATTTTTCAATTCCCTAAATTCACTGGAATAATTTGTGGTAGAGGGAGTGAAGAGAAGGGAACATGCTTGCAATACAGACCAATAAGTAAAATTAATTTCATGGTCTTATGAAAGTTTTATTATGACTATTTTTCTAATTCTCATATTCAATCTGGTGTCGTTGGCAAAGGCTTAACCTGCTATGACACAATGCCAACCCCAGGACAGAGGTTTTAAAAATGTGGCAAATGGGCCGGCGCCGCGGCTCAATAGCTAATCCTCCACCTGTGGCGCCGGCACCCCAGGTTCTAGTCCCGGTCGGGGTGCCGGATTCTGTCCCGGTTGCCCCTCTTCCAGGCCAGCTCTCTGCTGTGGCCCGGGAAGGCAGTGGAGGATGGCCCAAGTGCTTGGGCTCTGCATCCACATGGGAGACCAGGAGGAAGCACCTGGCTCCTGGCTTTGGATCGGCACAGCGTGCCAGCCATAGCAGCCACTTGGGTGGTGAACCAACGGCAAAGGAAGACCTTTCTCTCTCTCTCTCTCTCTCTCTCTCTCTCTCACACACACACACACTGTCTAACTCTGCCTGTCAAAAAAAAAAAAAAAAAGTGGCAACTGGGCACTAGTTCTAATCCCAGCTTTTCCACTTCCAATCCAGCTCCCTGCTAGTGCACCTTGGGCCCCTGCATCCACATGGGAGACCAGGATAAAGCTACTAGCTCCTGGCTTCAGCCTGGCCCAGCCCTGGTCATTGCGGCCATTTGTTTAGTGAACCAGCAGATGGAAGACCGATCTCTCTCTCTCTCTCTCTCTCTCTCTCTTTCTCAATCTGCCTCTCCCTCTCTCTGTAACTCTGTGACTTTCAAATAAATAAATAAATAAATATTTTTAAAAAGTGGCAACTGGACCAATTCTGAGCTATATATATATATTTTCCCCTGAATGTTTTCCATTTAAAATTGAGAGATTTTAGGTGAGGAAAAAAAAATTCAGATTTCCAGTTTTTCTTGAAATCATAATATCTGGCAAAACCAGACTGAAGATCAGTAGCAGTAGGATCCTCAAGGCATACACAATCCCCAGTTGGCCACAGTTCTAACCTTTTGCTATGTTTCACTTATTTCATTTCTTTGTAAATCCTGATTCAGATCCTTACCACTTCCCAAATGAATGCTGTAGCTTCATGACTGGGCAGCTCCTTTCCTCTAGTCTTTACCCTTTCAATCCTTATTTGGCAGATACATAGAAACATAGCAGAATTTATAAATGAAACTTTCATGTTACTACCTGCTTTACATTCTTCAACAGTTCCCTGTCATCTGCAAGAGAGAGTTGAATTCCCTAATATAACATGCAAAACTCCCTATTATAACATCTTACTTTGATCCCTGTATATACCATTATCCTTAGGTTCATGCTATGTTCAGACTGAATTGTTTATAGTTCTCCAAAAACATCATGTTCTCTCCTACTCCTGTACTGGTAGACATCACTCCTCAACCTAGAACGTTCGTCCTTTCTCTCGCTAACTCCTGTTCTTCCTTCAAGATCAGTCCCTGCATGTCTCTGGACATTTTCCCAGCTTCCTCTCCCCACCTGCCTACCTCCGCTTCCAATCAGGTAGGCAGCTCCTCCTGAACGTCATCAGCTTCCTGGGGTATGACAGCACTGACAGTGCTGTGTGATAATTACTACTTTCCTGATTTTCTTGAAGGTTTCCACAGCTAAATTTCATCTTACAATGTAAATGAGAAGATAAAAATGTTTCCTCAATCATTTCTGTCTTAGCGGTAGGTAATTAAAAAAAAAAACTTAACATTTATAAGAGGTTTCCTGCGTGCCAAGTATAATAGCTGGGTCCTTTTGAAATATAGTATCTCACTTAATAAGTGAGTATCTCACTTAATAAGACTTACAGTGCTCGCTCCGGCAGCACATATACTAAGACTTACAATAAGTTTAAAAAGTGAACAAAATTTGGAAGTTTAGTAAAAGTTGGTTAAACTTTCAGGTATTAGTTTTGTACTTTCACATTACACCATTTTGAAATTATAGCTGTCATTCAGATATTAATAATTTAAGGCCAATTTTTCATCTATATTATTTCTGAGTTAATGTAATTATTTCACCGAGTTTGAAAAAAACAAACAGAAGAAAAGCAAAACTTTGCTCAAGATCAACAAAGTTTAAGGAAATGTTTTTAAATCTCCTTAATAATACACATGCAACAAAACATTCCTGTAAAGAGAAATCCTAATGTGTAAGATTTCACAGAAACAGAAGCATTATATAAGGTGTACACTGAGAGGATTCAGTCAACATTTTGCAATCACTCATATATTTAATAAAATAGATACATTATTGCAAAATATTTAAAAGGCCAACTTACCATTTCAGTTAGAGTTACAATAGATGAAAATGCAGAATTCACGAAATCATACAAAACTTGAAATAAATATCTCAGCATAGGAAACTTGGAAGCATCTTCTGCTAATTTATAAATAAAAAGATGTTAACACTTGATATTATGCCACTTCTAAACCTAGTTTATTCCAGAATTTATGCATTAGAGAATATATAAGCTGTTTCTTACCTTTTTGAGGAAAGTATTTTTGAGCCAACAAAGAGTTTTCAGTTGCAACCATCTGACTGTTTAGCAGGGTATCGTCCACAGAATTGTCTGTCTCCATGTGAGCCATCACTTCGGTGTCTACTGATAGTTTTGATGTTTCATCATTATTATTAGAAGATGAAGTTTTAAAATGTGCTTCTTCATGAATTGCTATAGGCAGCTCTGTTTTAGAGACTACATCTGCAAAGAAATACAGAATTTGTTTAAGTATTCACTTTGTCGTAGGCTCCCCTTTTGTTTTTCCAGGCAGGTCAATCTTTGCAGTTTTGGTCATTGTGACACTTCATTAGAGAAAGAATTACTGAAACATAAATCGTAACCTACTGATTTTATAAATTATCACAAACTTACTGTCTTAAACAATACAAATTTATTCTCTCAAAGTTCTAGAAGTTGGGAGTCCTAAAACCAAGAAACTGGCAGGGCTGGTTCTTTTGTATCTCTTAGAGGAGAATCCATTTTTTTGTCTTTTCTCTGTTCTGGGGCCTCCTACCATCCTTGGTTCATGGCACTATCATCCATTTTAAAAGCCAGCAGTGTAGCATCTGTCTCCTCCTCCCCTCCTGCCATCCACTTAGAAGGAAATGTTTTATTTTATTGGGCCCAAAAGGATAATCTTCACCTCAGGATCCTTAAGCACATTAACAATAGTTGTTTCTCAGATAGTCACGTGGTCTGAGAGTTAAGACATGAACATCTTTGAAGGGACTTTATTCAGTCTACCACAAAGCTTTGGCCAGAGAAGAGTTACAAAACCTGTCAACAATTCTATTTTCTACATTGCCTTTTCATTAAAAAAAAAAAAAACTAGAGAACTTCAAAACATTTGTGGAAAATGGAATGAAAAGATAATCTGCGGCACCGCGGCTCAATAGGCTAATCCTCCTCCTAGCGGCGCCGGCACACCGGGTTCCAGTCCAGGTCGGGGCGCCAGATTCTGTCCCGGTTGCCCCTCTTCCAGGCCAGCTAGCTCTCTGCTGTGGCCCGGGAAGGCAGTGGAGGATGGCCCAAGTGCTTGGGCCCTGCACCCCATGGGAGACCAGGATAAGTACCTGGCTCCTGGCTTTGGATCAGCGCGATGGGCCGGCCGCAGCGCACCAGCTGTGGCGGCCATTGGAGGGTGAACCAAAGGCAAAAGGAAGACCTTTCTCTCTCTCTCTCTCTCTCACTATCCACTCTGCCTATCAAAAAAAAAAAAAAAAAAAAAAAAAAAAGATAATGTGTGTTTTCTATGCATTTTTTGAAGTCTCTTTATATTTAAAAAATAAATAAAACTGAACAGTAGCACAGCCATTACCAACTCTGTTATACTACATAAGCTTATGGCTAAAAGCAATACAATAAAATTTCATTACTGTTAGTTACATTTGCTTACCCAAGAAAGCATAATAGCTAAATACAACTGGAAATATATATATATATATCCCTGTCTCTTAAGAAAATCAATAAAATAGATTTTTTTAACCTTATCTGTTAGAGAACCAGAGAGCTGAAAAGGCCAAAATTATTTATAGTACCTACAGGTTACTTGATATTGACAGATAATTCTATTTAATAAATAGAACAAAAGCTTTTTCACAAAGAAAGGTAATAGAACTTACAGCAAATAATTTCCAGTTCCAAGATCTAGTCTACTGGGCTACAAACATCTACAACAAATGTTTGCTAATGTGCACTACAGATATGAAAGACATTGTCGGGGCCAACGCTGTGGCCTATCAGGTAAAGCCGCTGCCTGCAGTGCCAGCATCCAATATGGGCGCCAGTTCCAAGTCCCGGCTGCTCCGTTTCTGATCTAGCTCTCTGATATGGCCTAGGAAAACAGTAGAAGATGGCCCACGTCCTTGGGCCCCTGCACCCACATGGGAGACCAGAAAGAAGCTCCTGGCTCCTGGCTTCAGATTGGCTCAGCTCCAGCAGTTGAGGCCATTTGGGGACTGAACCAACGGAAGTAAGACTTTCTTTCTGTCTCTCGTCTCACTGTCTGTAACTCTACCTCTCAAATAAACAAATAAATAAATCTTTAAAAAAAAGACACTGATAGTATATCATTTATAAAAAAAAAAAAAAAAAGAGAGGCCGGCGCCGCGGCTCACTAGGCTAATCCTCCGCCTAGCGGCGCCGGCACACCGGGTTCTAGTCCCGGTCGGGGCGCTGGATTCTGTCCCGGTTGCCCCTCTTCCAGGCCAGCCCTCTGCTGTGGCCAGGGAGTGCAGTGGAGGATGGCCCAGGTGCTTGGGCCCTGCACCCCATGGGAGACCAGGAAAAGCACCTGGCTCCTGGCTCCTGCCATCGGATCAGCGCGGTGCGCCAGCCGCGGCGGCCATTGGAGGGTGAACCAACGGCAAAGGAAGACCTTTCTCTCTGTCTCTCTCTCTCACTGTCCACTCTGCCTGTCAAAAAAAAAAAAAAAAAGAGAGAGAGAAACTGTTAGCCATTTGCACAAAAAGGTATCCCTATTGTTTGGATGGGAACAACTTCAAAAATGATAAGATGCCAATCAAATTTCATACATTGTTATTTTGAAGATTCTCTAATTCCAAATCCCAATCTTTGTTTCCCCCTGATTCCGAGTCCAGTGATTATTATATATAGTATCATATATTGTTCAGGGAGTGTATTAAAAGAAAAATAAACAGAAGTTTTTTTAAGTCCTACAATAAATATACCCTTATATCAATTTAAAATTTTGGAGGAAGACATTCTTGGAGGAAGTTATTCCTATTAGCATTTATAAGACATTTCACATTTTAGAGTATATTGTGTTATTTAATAATCCACTAGAATGTATTGTATAAAACAAATTTGGAAATATATTCTAAAATATATTGACACTATTACCTAAGATATTCTGGTAATTGTTAATTTATTTTAGAAATCATTTTTTTAAATGTTCACCAGATTAAAATGACATTTAGAATGTTTGTGTTGGCTTGGTAGAGGGAAAATACTGATATTATAAATAGAATATAAAAATAGCAACAAGATATTCTCATTAACTGTTGGTAAAATACATGTTGCTATGAGTATACACAGTTATATGATTATTTTCGCTTTCAGACCTAAAACAGCATACGGCTGTGTTAAGAAAGCAAATTGAAATCAACACTAAATTTTATCTAGAGTCATTTCTTCTCTATCGACATGGCTGTCAAAACTAAAACTTCACATAAGATTAGTGTTTCCTTAGTTTGGAGATCTCCTGAGTTCATAAACTGCTTCAATAAGATGAAAGTATCATAAATTACTGAACGGGAACTTAAGAAATTATAAATCTTATCTCTCTGCTTTTTAAAGAAACCATATAAATCTACTCTATTAGGTAAAAATCCATATTATCCAACTGATAAAATGATCATTAGTCTAGGGAAAATGTTAATTTTCTTTTGTATTTCAATAGAATAATGCTGATAGAGGTTTAAGTCAAATGTTCCTGATTGTTCTACTTTTATGCTACATATTAAATCTTTTTTTAAGATTTTATTTCTTTTTATTTGAGAGAGAGAGTTACAGAGAGAAGGCAGAGAGAAAGGTCTTCCATCCACTAGTTCGCTCCCCAAATGGCTGCAATGGCCAGAGATAGGCTAATCCAAAGTCAGGAGTCAGGAGCTTCTTCTACATCTCCCATGTGAGTGCAGTGGCCCAAGGATTTGGGCCATCTTCTACTGCTTTTCCAGGCTGTAGAAAAGAGCCAGATCAGAAGAGGAACAGCCAGGACTAGAACCAGCGTCTATATGGTTTTCCAGCACCCCAGGCAGAAGCTTAGCCTACTACAACCACAGTGCTGGCCCCTACATATTAAATCTTTAAACAAACTATAATGTGCCTGAATTCAAATTTAGAATGAAAATGTATGCACATCTCTTTTTTTCAAAAATATTTATGTACTTATTTGAAAGGTAGAGAGACAGAGACAGGGAGATTTTCCTTCAGCTGTTTTACTCCCTAACTGGCAAAAACAACCAGGGCCATGCCAAAGCAAGGAGCCAGGCACACCATCCAGGTCTCCCATGTGGGTGGCAGGAACTAAAGTACTGGGGCCATAATCTGCTGCATCCCAGGTGCATTAACAAGGAGCTGGATCAGAAGCAGAGTAGCTGGGACTTGAAACAGCACTCTGATACAGACATCCTAACCAGCAGCTTAACCCACTGTTCCACAACCTCTGTCCATTTTGAAAACCTTTTCACAAACTTCATTTTAAAAAGATTACTCAATGGGGGCTGGCGCCATGGCGCAGTAGGTTAATCCTCCGCCTGCAGTGCCGGCATCCCATATGAGCAGCAGTTCTAGTTGCGGCTGCTCCTCTTCCAATCCAGCTCTCTACTGTGGCCTGGGAAAGCAGCAGAAGATGGCCCAAGTCCTTGGGCTCCTGCACCCACATGGAAGACCCAGAAGAAGCTCCTGGCTCCTGGCTTCGGATTAGCCTATCTCTGGCCATTGCAGCCATTTGGGGAGTGAACCAGCAGACAGAAGACCTCTCTGTCTCTCCTTCTCACTGTCTGTAACCCTACCTGTCAAATAAATAAATAAATAAATAAATAAATCTTTATTAAAAAAAAATAAAAAGATTACTCAAGAGTCAGGCATTGTGACACAGCAGGTTAAGGCACCCCTTGGGATATCTGCATCCCTTCTCAGAGTGTCTGAGATCAAGTCCAGACTCCACTTGCAATCCAGCTTCCTGCTAAATGTTCTTAGGAGGCAGCAGATGATGGCCCAAGTGCTTGGGTTTTTGCCATCCATGTGGGAAATCTGGATAGAGTTCCTGGCTCCTGGCTTTAGCCTGGCCAGCCTTTGTGGTTGCAAGTATTTGGGTACTAAAGCAGCATATGGAAGTTATGTATGTGTGTGTGTGTGTGTGTGTGTATGTATATATCTCTCTGACATTCTACCTTTCAAACAATAAATACATCTTTTCTAAAAAATGAAGTAAAATCTTTTTTCATTTTTAATAAAGTATTTAAAATTAATGTAAAAATTCAAAATATTTATAGGTCAAAATTTGCCACATTTGTAATGTTGCATCATATACTTATGTCCACGTCATGTCAAAATAGCTATTAATTGCAAGCATAGTTTTAAATTGATCATCTGATTGAACTGAATAATCAAAAGAATTTTTAAAAAAGTTTTAATTAGTCCTTTTCTGGAGCAGGCCTTTTGCCTAGCAGTTAAGATGCCACTTGGAATGCCCATATCCCATATCAGAACACCTGGATTCATGTCTCAGCTCTGCTCTTGACTCTAGCTTCCTGCTAATGTGCACCCTACAAGGAAGCAGGTGATGGTTCAACTGATTGGGTCCCTGTCACCCATGTGGGAGACCTAGACTGAGTTCCCAGCTCCTGGCTTTGGCCTGGTACAGCCCTGGCTTATTGCAGAGTTTATCAGTGGATGGGAGAGATACCCGCCCCCACCCCCGTGTGTGTGTGTGTGTGTGTGTGTGTGTGTGCTTTTTAAATAAATAAGAATTTTTTAAAATTCTTTAACATTGTGGTGCAGCAGGTAAAGCCACCATGGGTGCCAGTTTAAGTCCCAACTGCTCCACTTCTGATCCAGCTCCCTGCTCAAGGCCTGGGAAAAGCATCAGGAGATGACCAAAGTACTTGAGCCCCTGCGCCCATGTGGGAGACCTGGAAGAATCTCCTGGCTCCTGGTTTCGGCCTGGCTCAGCTCAGGACTGTTGTGGTCTATTGTGAAGTGAACCAACAGATGAAAGATCACTCTATCTCTCACTCTAACTCTGCCTTTCAAATAAATAAAATACATATTTAATGAAAAAATAAATAGCCCTATCCTGAAGTACATTATTCAAGTGAATTGTGGGATATATTTCTCTTACTTTTGGAAATAAGGATTTTAAAAAATCAGTTTATTTTTTATTTATTTGAAATGCAAAGTTAAAGAGAGGTAGAAGCAGAGGCAGAGAGAGGTCTTTCATCCACTGGATCACTCCTCAGATGGCCTCAATGGCCAGAACTGGGCCAATCCGAAGCCAGGAGCCTAGAACTTCCACGCAGGTTCAGGGGCCCAAACACTTGAGCCATCTTCTGCTGCTTTCCCAGGCCATAGCAGAGAGCTAGATCGGAAGTGGAGCAGCTGGGACTAGAACCAGCACCCATATGGGATGCCAGCACTGCAGGCAGTGGCTTTACCTGCTACCCCACAGCACTGGCCCCTCAGTTTAATGTTGAAAATATTAAGTGGCAATTAAATTATTCAATTTACTCTTTGAGTTTATGATTCTTAACACAGCACTTTAATGATGTCACTCACCTAATATTGTTTAAAAGATGGGAGACCCAATTGAGCAAATACATGTTAGTAATTTAATAAAACTTCCTGTAGACACTAATATTTAAAAAGAGTAATCAAGTCAGAATATGATTACAATGGGATTTTTGTAAATACAGGACTCAAATAGTGATCTATGAGAATGTTTAATACCATTAGGGGATAATAGGTCTATTTGATAACAATATTCAGTTTTATATGTGACTATATCTATTATCTTAGAATCCTGTTTTAAACTGCATTATGAGAAAAATTAATGTATTTTAAGTGAATAATATTTGATTGTAGCTTTGAGATACTTTTACACATAAACTATGCCTAAACTTTAAGATTTATATTAGATATAGATATACCTTTCTTTTTTTTTTTTTTTTAAGATTTACTTGGGCCCCCACACCCACATGGGAGACCCAGAAGAAGCTCCTGGCTTTGGATCAGCACAGCTCAGCTGTTGCGGCCAACTGGGAAGTGAACCATCAGATGGAAGACCTCTCTCTCTTTCTCTCTCTCTCTCCCCCTCTCCCTCTCCCTTTTTCTCTCCCTCTCTCTGTGTAACTCTAACTTTTGAAAAAAAATAAATAAATCTTAAAAAATACATCTCCAACCTTTCCTTTTCATTTTGGATTTTGTTTTGTTTATTTGTGAGGCAGAGTGATACAGAGGGACAGAATCAAAGAGAAACAGAGTCAGAGAGCTCCCACCCACTGGTTTACTTCCCGAGTGCCTGCAATAGCTGAGGCTGGGCTAGGCTGAAGCCAAGAGCCTTAGAACTCAACCTAGCTCTTCCACCTGGGTGATTGGGACCCAGCTACTGGAGCCATCACCTGCTATTCCCCAGGGTGCACATCATCAGGAAGCTGAAATCACAAGTGGGATAGCCAGGACTTGAACTCAGACATTCTCAACATGGGATACAGGCATCCCAACTTAACCACTAGGCCAAACACCCCCCACACACACACACACTCAGGGTTTGACTTTATAATATTAAGCTCTAAGTTCCAGAGTAAAGCAGAAATTGACAAAAGGGTAGTTGTTGATTATTGAGTTATTTTGAAAAACATGGTAGAGACCAGCATTGTGGCACAGAGGGTTAAGCTACCACCTTCAATGCCAGCATCCCATATGGATGCTGCTTCGAGTCCCCAGTTGCTGCACTTCTGACTTGGCTCCCTGCTAATGTGCCTGGGAAAGCCATGGAAGATGGCCCAAGTATGTGGGCCCCCTGCACCTATGTGAGATATGCAGAAGTTGTTCCTGGCTCCTACCTTCTGCCTGGCCCAGCCCTGGTTGTTGCAGCCATTTGGATAATGAACCAGCAGATAGAAGATACCTCTCTCTCTCTCTCTCGCTCTCGCTCTCAATCTTGCTCTCTCCTTCTCTCCTTCTCTCACAGTCTCTCTGTAATTCTGCCTTTCAAATAAATAATCTTTAGAAAAAAAATAAAAAACATGAATTGCTGAATTTTTTCAACTGATTTGTACTTATAAAAATAAAGAATGTTAAAATAAAAGGTATTATGGATATTTTCATACCAACCTCATTGACTGTATTTGCTTTTCAACATAACTTGCATATTACCTGTGGGGTAATTTTCAACTGAAAATTCTTCTGTTTCATCATTTGCAACTGCATTCTTTTGATCCAGTGTCTGTTGTGGAGATTGTAATTCTGTTTCCTTTGGAATCTTCCGGGAGCTCCAAGGGTTGCCAAAATTATTTAAGAACTTTTTAAAATATGGCAAAGTATCAGAATCATCTGTTTCCTCTAAGACTTTTTCGTTTATCTGATCTTCCGTTTCTATGCTGTCTATCATTTTTATTTCTTGTTCCTTATCAGGGTCAAAGTCACTTGCTAGAGGAGGTTCATGTTCATCTCCCCCAGCATCTCCCTCATGCTGTCCACCATCTGATTTGATTTTATCTTCACTGGCGTATGCAAAGCCTAACATACCAAAACCATAATCAAACCAACTTGATTGGAGAATGGAGCTATCATTAATCACTGGATCTTCTTTTTCTGGTAATATTTCTGTACATGGAACTGTGGATTCTTCAATGGATGATATGGAACTGGGGACATCCTGTAGTGGTGGATTGCTTTCTTTGGGCAATACTTCAAGCCCTGTATCCTCATCTCCAAAACCTAAGTAACTTTTAAATCCACCACCAAACCACCCAGTATCTGGCGGTTTAAGAATGTGCTCTGACTCAGATGCTAGTTCAGACTGTTCCTTTGGCACTGAATCAAATTCTGATTCAGGTTCTTGCGCGTGTTCTGTTTGGAGATCTCCATTACTCAATTCTTCTCTCTCATTCTCATCTTCCATTGCTATTTTTCTACCTAGAAATGAGCTTTCTTGTGTGGGTTCAATAGTTGATTCAAAAGACATCTCTTCAGTGTGTTCTTTTCCCAACCCAAACCACCCCTTTCCTTCGGGCACAGCTGTGGGCAGGATGACATGATCCACTTCCGGAATATGATCCTGTTCCACACTTTCGGCTTCTACTTCTACCCACTCTTTGGATTTGCTCATGCTTCTGGTATCTTCAGGAGCTTCTGATGCTGAAAATTGGTCTTCAAACACAGTACTTTCGGAAGTTGCATAAAAGCCAGGTTCTAAGTGGAAGTCATTTTCATATACATAAGATTTTTGTTCATCATCTTCTTCATATGGATATATATTTTCACTATTATCACTTAACTCATTATCTTCATTTTCAAACATGTAGCTTACTCCAAGAAGACAAAGAAAGTCGGATTCCTAAAAAGAATAAAAGGGTGATCGACACAAATGTACTCCTTAATTCTTCAATAATCATTTAAAATAGTTGACTGTGATAGTCCCAAGAACACACAACAGCTCAACAACATGGCAAAAAATAAAGCTCAGATCTCATCTCAAAGGCTTTGTAACACAATTACTTTCCAGGGTTAATGATATAAACTTAAATAAAAATCCCTTTATGTTATGGCTTGTTATTAAATAGTTGATAAAATTTGAGAACAGAGAAATATTCTACAAATAAACTATGATAAAAAGCCCTGCATATTTCCCAAAAAATCTCATATTTCTTTTTTTTTTTATTTATTTGACAGGTAGAGTTATAGACAGTGAGAGAGACAGAGAGAAAGGTCTTCCTTCAGCTGGTTCACTCCCCAAAAGACCACTATGGCTGGCGCTGCGCTGATCCGAAGCCAGGAACCAGGTGCTTCCCCCTGGTCTCCCATGTGGGTGCAGGAGCCCAAGCACCTGGGCCATCCTCCACTGCCCTCCTGGGCCATAGCAGAGAGCTGGACCGGAAGAGGAGCAACCAGGACTAGAACCCAGCACCTATATGGGATGCTGACGCCGCAGGTGGAGGATTAACCAAGTGAGCCACGGCGCCAGCCCAAAATCTCAAATTTCTTAAGAATGCACCAAGCTAAGCAACCAGTCTAGGCCCACTCTGTCCCCGTTGCTGCCTCAGGTTGCCCCAGGACTTGGAGTTAGAGGGCCCGCTGGCCTCTTCTCCACCTGCAGCCCAGTAGCCACCACCTGGATCTTTGGCACGGCAGCCACAGCAGCGCCTTGTGAGAGCACAGCCAGAGGGCAGTCTCTGAGGATTTGATAATGGGCTGTATTAGAAGTAAAGAAAACAAAAGTCCAGACATTAAATACAAAACCGAGAACCCTCCAGAGCCTGTCAGTAGGGTGCCAGCCATCAAGGAGCAGATCACACCACAAGTGCACCATCATCTTCCGCAAAGGGAGCGTTGGTTAAAGTCAACAGTCTCTCCATAATATCACTGGGAGGGTCCGCAGAGGCGACTCTTTTTGGAGGAGCTTCTTCCTCATTCTTGGTGGTGCCAATCCTACTGGTTCATATCTTACTGGTTTAACAGGTGGTGTTACTGTATTTGTGCCCTTATCTGATGGTGAAACTAGAGCTACAGAAGACCTTTATTAAAGAAAAGTGAAGAGCCAGTGCTGTAGCATAGCGGGTAAAGCTGCCACCTGCAGTGCTGGCATCCCGCATGCACACTAGTTCAAGTCCTGGCTGTTCCACTTCCAATCCAGCTCTCTGCTATGACCTGGGAAAGCAGTAGAAGACGGCCCAAGTCTTTGGGTCCTTGCACCCACGTGGGAGACCCAGAGGAAAGCTCCTGGCTCCTGGCTTCGGATCGGTGCAGCTCCGGCCATTGTGGCCATTTGGGGAGTGAACCAGCGGATGGAAGACCTCTCTCTCTGCCTCCCTTTCTCTCTCTGTGTAACTATGACTTTCAAATAAATAAATAAATCTCTTTTAAAAAATGGTGAAAGACTTCCAATAATTAACAAAACAGAAGGAGACTGGTGGGAAGAATGATCCATTGCTACAAGAAAGAATGGCTATATCACAGCAACTACAGAGCACCTACAGATTCCATTCAGGCAGAAGAATGGTATTTTGGCAAAAAGGGGAGAAAAGATTACTTTTGAATCCTGGGAACCAACAAGGTATATTTTTAGTAAGAGAAAGTGAAAGTACTAAATGTGCTCATTCCCTCTCTATTCCTGACTGGTGAGAGTTAAAGAATGATAATGTGAAACACTACAAAATTAGGAAACTTGACAATGGTTGATACTACATTACAACCAGAGGACAAAATTTGATACTTTTCAAAAGTTGGTGAAATACTACACAGAACATGCTGATGGTTTATGTCACCAGTTAACAGCTGTGTGTCCAACTGTGAAATCACAGATTCAAAGTCTAGCAAAAGATGCTTGGGAAATTCCTCGAGAATCATTGAGACAAGAAGTTAAACTAGGACAAAGATGTTTTGGTGAAGTATCAATGAGAACATGGAACGGAACCACAAAGACAGCAATCAAAACACTAAAACCAGGTACAGTGATGCCAGAAGCTTTCCCTCAAGAAGCTCAGATAATGAAAACATTAAGACACGATAAACTTGTTCTGCTACATGCAGTTGCTTCTAAAGAACCAATTTACACAGTCACTGAATTTATGCCAAAAAGGAGCTTATTAGATTTCCTTAAGGAAGGTGATGGAAAGTATTTGAATCTTCCACAACTGCTTAATATGGCTGCTCAGTTCACTGATGGTATGGCATATATTGAAAGAATGAACTATATTCACTGAGATCTTCAAGCTGCTAATATTCTTGTAGAAGATCTTACTGCGAAATAGCAGATTTTGGTTTAGCAAGATTAATTAAAGACAATGAATACACAGCAGGACAAGGTGAAAAATTTTCCATCAAATGGACAGCTCCTACATAATAGGTAATCTGTAGAAGTGAACTTGACACTTTGAGATGTGATGACTTTGAACAGCCCTTGGCTTGACTGTTGAGCAACAGTTTTTCTTTTCATACTATTTGTTGAACACTTTACTTAATACAGAGTTAATCTTATGTGTATAAAGTTAATTGAGGGGCCGGCGCCATGGCTCACTTGGTTAATCCTCCGCCTGCATCGCCGGCATCCCATATGGGCACCGGGTTCTAGTCCCGGTTGCTCCTCTTCCAGTCCAGCTCTCTGCTGTGGCCCAGGAAGGCAGTGGAGGATGGCCCAGGTGTTTGGGCCCCTTCACCCACATGGGAGACCAGGAGGAAGCACCTGGCTCCTGGCTTCGGATCAGTGCAGCGCCGGCCGTAGCGGCCATTTGGAGGGTGAGCCAACAGAAGGAAGACCTTTCTCTGTCTCTCTCTCTCACTGTGTAACTCTATCTGTAAAATAAATAAATAAATAAAATAAAAAATAAAGTTAATTGAAAATAGGTCTTAGTAAAAAAATAAGTAAATAAGTAAAAATTAGGAGAGAGAGGAGGAAGAAGGGTGGGAGTGCAGATTGGAGGGCAGGTATGGTGTGAAGAATCACTATGTTCCTCAAGTTGTATTTATGAAATGCATGAAGTTTGTATTCCTTAAATAAAAGGTTTCTGGGGGGAAAAAATGGACAGCTCCTGAGGCAGTACTCTGTAGCCAATTTACAATAAAGTCTGACATATGGTCATTCATAATTTTAAATATAGAACTGGTAACAAAGGACAGAGTCCGTATCCAGGTGTGGTGAACTGGGGAGTGCCAGAGCAGGTGAGACGAGAATACAGGATGCCTTGCCCCTGGGGCTGTCCAGATCCCCCATGAACTGATGAATCTGTGTTGGAAGAAGGACTCTGATGAAAGACCAACATGTGAGTATATTCAGTCCTTCTTGGAAGACTGCATCACCGCTACAGAGCCACAGTACCCGTCAGGAGAAAATGTGTAATATAAGGAGCCTATTTTATCTGCACAGATCTGCCAAAACGTAAAGAACTTATGTAGAGTTCCTCACTTTCATACAGAAATCAAAAGAAGAAAATCTTCACTCCACATGCTTTTAATGTACAAACTACTTTTTTTCCAAGTGTTAAGTACAGATGGTGAATTTTCCAACTTATTTCAGGGTCCAAAGAAAAATATGTTATCTCAAAAAACTAGAGAGAGAAAGAAGAGGCGAGGAGGGAGTGTAGGAGGAAGATAGGGAAGGAGAAGAGAAAGCAAACATTACATATTCTTAGAATTGTATCTATGAACTCTATTGAATCTGTTAAAAACTAATTAAAAATTGGGGCTGGCATTGTGGCATAGTAGGCTATGCCTCCACCTGTGGCGCTGGCATCCCATATGGGCACCAGTTTATGTTCCAGCTGCTCCTCTTCTGATCCAACTCTCTGCTAATGGCCTGGGAAAGCAGTGGAATGTGGCCCAGAAGAAGCTCCTGGCTGCTGGCTTTGGTCTGACCCAAATCTGGCAGTTGCTGCCATTTGGGAAATGAACAAGCAGATGGAAGATCTTTCTCTCTCTTTCCTTCTCTCTGTCTGTAACTCTACCTCTCAAAATAAATAATAAAATCTTTAAAAAAAATAATAAAAAACCAAAAATTTATTTTAAAACTAATTAGAATTTTAAAAATAAAGAAAATTCAAAAAAATTCTTAGAAAAAACTTGGACTGTTAGAAATAGTAGTGTGTGCTGTTTGAATATTACCAATATGAAATAAAAGAAGAGTTCACATGTTTGAAGAATAAACTTCAGAATTGCAATTTTACAGTACTCATATATCTTTGGTAGGTGATTAAATCAGATATTGGAGTCAAACCTTCTGGGATCAACTTCTGACCCTGCCGCCTTTTAGCTTTCTGACCTTGGGTAAACTATATGACCCAACTATGCCTCGGTCAGCAGAGTGTTGTGAGAATTAAATGAGTCAAATACTTAGAATAGTAATAGTCTGTAGTAAACACTAGCCTAACCAAGCCCAAAGGTAAACTCACCAGATGCAGCCAGTAATTCAGGGGTAAAAGGCCCATCTCCCTTGCCTCTACTCAGGACAGCTCTGTGGCATATCACAGTTCAACTTCTCTGCCCAATTCTGCTTTCTTTTTTAAAGATTTATTTATGTACTTATTTATGTATGTATATATTTGTTTATTTAAAAGGTAGAGTTACAGAGAGAGACAGAGAAAGATCTTCCATCTGCTGGTTCACTCCCCAGGTAGCTACAACAGTCATGGTATACCAAATTTGGTGAGTTTAGACAAGTATACACCCTGGTGCTACCACTGTTACAATACAAGTAATAAACATATCTATTACCTACAGAAGTTTCCCTGGGGACATTGATGTGACATAAAGGATAAGGAGGAGGGCCAGCGCAGTGGTGCACTAGGTTAGTCCTCCACCTGCAGCACGGGCATCCCATATGGGCGCCGATTCTAGTCCCGGTTGCTTCTCTTCCAGTCCAGCTATGCTGGGACAGCAGTAGAAGATGGCCCAAATGCTTGGGCCCCTACACTGCATGGGAGACCAGGAAGAAGCACCTGGCTCCTGGCTTCAGATCGGTGCAGCTCCAGCCATTGCGACCATTTTGGAGAGTGAACCAACGGAAGGAAGACCTCTCTCTCTCTCTCTCTCTCTCTCTCTCTCTCTGTAACTCTACCTGTCAAATAAATAAATAAAATCTTAAAAAAAAGTTGGGGGGGGGGGGATAAGGGGGAATTAGCTAAGTGAAGAACTTGGGGAAAGCATCCCAATCAGAAGAAATAACCTGCCAGGATCCCTGGGCTGGGAAGAGGTCAGCATGTTCTAAGAACAGTCCAAAGGGCAGTTTGACCAGAGGCACTGTGACTGAGGAGGGAGTGGCACAAGACAGGGACAGCAGCAGGTCATATGGGCCTGCAAGGCCGTTTACAGGAGTGAGCATTATGCCAGGTCCACTGAAGAACCATAAAAGTGCTTTCACCAACAATGTGATATAACCTGATTTTTTTAAAGATCCATGTATCTTTGGAAAATGAATTGGAAGAAAGCTGAGGTAGAAGCAAGGAGAACAGTCAGAAGGCTACTGTGGCATTACAATTAAGAGGTGATGGTGCCTTGAATTAGAGCCATAGTCAGAGTGGAAGTGAAGAGGACAATACAGTACAGGTATGTTTCAGAAATCTAGCTGACGGGGTTAATTACTATTCAGTAAATGGACAGTTAATCCTAGGGTTTGTATTGGAAAAGAGCCAGGTGATAGACTGTTTGCTGAACTAGACAGACTCACTTCACGTTGACCTCATTTAAGCTAAAGTGGCTTAACCTGGAAACTGAATTCAATGGATTAATCAAGTTCATATATTGAAAAGCCACCTTCTGATTCCCTTTCTCATCAAGTGAAAATTTTCAAGTCGATTAGTCTCTAACAGCAAAAAAGGTTGTACAGATATGAGACCTTGGGAGCATGGTGGGAAGTACACTGGTCTAGTAGAACAGTAGCATGTGTAATGACATGTAACACACAAAATTTGCCAAGTGCTATTTTATGTACTCAACATACACTCATTGACTCCTCAGCAAATTTGTGGTAGCACTACATGATACATTACCCTTATTTGACAGATGTGGAAATGTAGACACACAAGGTCATTTAGTTCATAAGGGGCTGAGACAGGCTTTGACCACAGTCCATGTCCAGAATTCATGCTCTTAACCACCACTCTCTACTGCCTGTGAATTGTATTACATAATTCTATTTGTGTACTCAAACTAATCCTAGAGTAAGTCCTCAGACCAACCATTTTATGCATTCACCCTACAAGATACATAATCCCGGGCATTTGTACTAAGGAAAACTATTTTAGCCAAAACATTTTAAATCAAATTAACAGTGAAAAATGAGTTTACTTACTTTAGTTGGTATTTCAACTTCCTCAGATATGAACACCTCTTCAATCTGGACTGCATCTCTGGGAAAATATCCAAAGTCCTTTCCTTTCTATCAAAATGATGAATAAAGGTTATCAAGGAAGAGAGATCAAAGCAATGATAACTATTGAGACTGATTTTGCCCCTCGTCCTTGGCTTTCATCTGCTTCACATCACAAAACATTAACAAGCAGTCAATTGCCATCTAAAAGAAAGTGAGTGAAACCACATTTTTTATTCAAAGAAAATAAAGAGAATTAAGAGAAAAGAGGGCTGAACTGTAAAATGTCAATGTTTTAAATATCAGAAGGAAAAGCAGCCCCATAGCCAATTTTTTTTTTTTTTTTTTTGACAGGCAGAGGGGACAGTGAGAGAGAGAGACAGAGAGAAAGGTCTTCCTTTGCCGTTGGTTCACCCTCCAATGGCCGCCAAGGCCGACGCGCTGCGGCCGGCGCACCGTGCTGATCTGATGGCAGGAGCCAGGTATTTATCCTGGTCTCCCATGGGGTGCAGGGCCCAAGCACCTGGGCCATCCTCTACTGCACTCCCTGGCCACAGCGAAGGGCTGGCCTGCAAGAGGGGCAACCGGGACAGAATCCGGCACCCCGACCGGGACTAGAACCTGGTGCGCCGGCGCCTCAAGGTGGAGGATTAGCCTAGTGAGCCACGGCGCCGGCTTTCTGTTCTTTAATGACCTTCCCAGACCAGAAGGACCACAGATTTATGATAGTAAACCAAGGATATCAAAATGGAAGGTAATGGTAGCAACAGCTAAGGCATGTGGAGCTGCAACACACTCCTTGTTTTCAGAGCGTCAAAATCGGGCACAAGTTTAAGAGCCAAAGATGGATTTGTCGGGATGGTAAAGGTCCATGAGTTCTCCAGGAAGAATCTGGTTTGGCTTTTTTGGGACTAACTTGGAACCAAAAAGTCCCTTAACCCAGTTCAAGCACATACAGGATGTCCTCTGAGAGTGAAGTCTCACAGAACTACTCTCAGCCCATTTGGCCTCTTCCTGTTAAAGTTTAAACAGCGAACTTCTAGTTCTCTGATCCGTCTCTACATCTCAGTTGTGATTCTTCCAGCTCCCCAGTTGCTACAACCATTTGGAAACTGACTACTTCTGGATCCACAGTATGATTTCCTTAAACAGCTGTCTGCAAGGATTAAACATCTAACGCACAAAGCTAAGTGTGCCTGAAACTTCACCCTGGTCCTACACATTTAACACTGCATTTGTGTGGAACTATTATTTTCACATACAGTAACAGGAAAGAATGCTTTCTTAGGTGCCAGTGCTGTGGCATAGAATTTTAAGCTCTGCCTGTGGTGCTGTCATCCCATATGGTGCCTGTTTGAGCCCCAGGTGTTCCACTTCCAATTCAGCTCCTTGCTAATGGCCTGGAAAAGCAGCTGAAGATGGCCCAAGTGCTTGGGCTCCTGCTCCCACATGGGAGACCCAGAAGAAGCTCCTGGCTCCTAGCTCTGGATCAGCCCAGCCCCAGCCATTGTGGCCATTTGGGTAGTGAATCAGCAGATGGAGGACCTCTCTATCTTTCCCCCTCTCTCTGTAACTCGCCTTTCAAACAAATAAATCAATCTTTGGGGGAAAAAAAATGCTTTCTTAGCCTCTTATAATATCTACTGTGTCATTTTCCTTACAGCTGCTTTGAATACCCAATGCATTAAAGACATAGACAGGCACTTTTTAAAAAAAATATTTTATTTATTTAAAAGGCAGAGTTAGAGAGAGAGAGAGAGGTCTTCCACCTGCTGGCTCATTCCCCAAATAGTAAAAACAGCCAGGACTTGGCCAGGCCAAAGCCAGGAGCCAGGAGCTTCATGTAGGTCTCCCACATGAGTGCAGGAACCCAAGCACTTGGGCCATCCTCCATTGCTTTCCCAAGCACATTAGCAGGGAGCTGGATCCAAAGTGGAGCAGCTGAGACTCAAACTGGTGCCCATAGTAGCTTAACCCATTACACCACAGCGCTGGCACCAAAGCACTGACATTTTTAAGATACCCTAAGCAGCAAGGAATCATGGGAACTACAGCAGCCAGGCAAACAATTCTGACCAGTGTCTGTCAGACGTTCAATCATGCAGCCCTTTATAGGAAAAAGCATGATTTCAAACAGAATCTTTCCTTCAGACTGTTACCGCAGAGGCTACCCAAGGGAGAAATCTGATGCATATGCAATATGGAAGTGAAGTATCAGCGTTTGTTCAGGATGGGAGTAAAATCACATATCATAGCATCTTTCTTTCATAAAGCATAATAGTATAAGCAAAGATATCAAGCTTGTTCAGCCAAAAATCTCACTCACTAATTTTCCTCTGTTACATATTCAGAAAGATGATTCCAGCTTCTAGGAATGTCAGACTTGGGGCCAAATAATGGGCTTTCCAGTTGTTATTTTTTCCCATGAAAAATTCACACACTTAGCTTCTGTAGACTAACAACCTTTCTTCAATAACAACTTAGCCCTTTATTTGCTCAGACAGACATGCCTTTTCATCTAGTCAACTAAAACTTACCAGTCTCTCCAAAATTTAATCATTAGTGGCACCAAGATTTGGCTGGGGTTGCCTAGCCATCCCATAATCTCCATCAGCACCCCTAAGGTTTCTTCAAATAAATATAAACTCTTACTTTAAAAACAATGCATATGCAGTACAGCATGTTAAGCTGCAGCCTGCAACACTAACAGCCTGCTCTGCTTCCAATCCAGCTCCTAGAAACGCGCCTAGAAAAGCAGTGGAGTGACCCAAGTACCTGTGTCCCTGCCACTCACATGGGAGATTTGGATGAAGCTCTCCTCTCTGCCTTTCAAATGAATAAATTAATTACTAAATTAAAATGAAAATAATTTTTTCAAAAAAGATGAAAAATAGATATCCTTGTGCAAGTTTTCAGGAGTCGATACTTACACTTCCTGCCCACAAATCTTCTCTTTCTCCTGCGAGTTTAACATAAACAGATATCTCTTCTCCCTTGGTGAAGTTCAGGTAAAGACAGTCAGGTCCTCTGTAATCACTCATGGCAAGGACTCTGCTTATTAAAGCTATGTAAACATATAAAAAGCACTTTAAATTAAAACATCATTTCTCATCCTTCCATTTTACCTTCCTCTAATCCATCCTATACATTTCCAAGTATAATTCCTTTGTATCATTTATGGCCTCAAAAACCTACATATACTTCCCACTGCATCTAGAATCAAACCTAGGCTTCATGACTCGGCATTGTAACTGGGACCCCCTTCCTTACTTAAAAGAACCTTCCTCTATTCCTTTACCCAGATCCAGGGCTACTGCCAGGCTTGTCTACGTGTTGTTAGTTAGAATGTTGGAATGCATCATTATCATTCTCCAGTCTGCAGGGAAGAAAAAGATAATTGATGTGCTCTGTGGCACCTACTACTTTCAGGCATTTTGATAAGGGCTTTTACTTTTTTAAAATCAAATCCTCAAGGCCGGTGCCATGGCTCACTAGGCTAATCCTCCACTTGCGGTGCTGGCACCTCGGTTCTAGTCCCGGTTGGGGCACCAGTTCTGTCCTGGTTGCTCCTCTTCCAGTCCAGCTCTCTGCTGTGGCCCAGGAGGGCAGTGGAGGACGGCCCAGGTCCTTGGGCCCTGCACCCGCATGGGAAACCAGGAGGAAGCACCTGGCTTCTGGCTTTGGATCTGCGCAGTGTGCCGGCCGTAGCGGCCATTTGGGGGGGTGAACCAACGGAAGGAAGACCTTTCTCTCTCTCTCTCTCTCTCTCTCTCTCTCACTGTCTAACTCTGCCTGTCCAAAAAAAAAAAAAAAAAAAAATCAAATCCTCAAAACAGATCTATGAGGTAAATAATCTCATCTCAATATAGCAAATGACCCATTAGCTCATCAGAGAATTCGTCACACAGCTCTGGTGGGGCCAGAATTGGCCAATTCTTTTCAGTGAAACATCCTTGTTCTGAACTTTTCTTTCTGTTCTTCTCTCAGCCTAGAAACCCTTTCCCTTCCCTTCTTGCTTCACCCATATCTTACTTCTTCAATGAGGTGTCTTGAATCTTCCCAGCCTACTCTTATTTCCTTGTCTCTGAATTTCAACATTGTCTATTACCCTTACTCTGTGGAATCCCTATTTACAGTTTCATTTTGACCTATCTTGTCACCACTCACTAAAAAGAAAAATCCTGGAGGCCAAGACACTCATTTTACAGGTCACTTTATTCTCTTAGATACAGAAATGCACACCCCCAGACCCAGTTCAGAGCCGCCCCTCAATAACAATTAATGGGGACTGGAGTTGGAGCCAGTGGATACCAGGGTGCTTGCATCCCATACAGGAGTACCTGAAATCAAGTCCCACCTCCACTTATTTTGTTAAAGATTTATTTATTTGAAAGAGTTACAGAAAGAAAGGCATTCTATCTGCTAGTTCACTCTCCAAATGGCAGCAACAGCCAGGCTGCTCCAGGCCAAACAAGGAACACAGAACTCCATCCAGGTCTCCCACAGGGGTGGCAGTGGCCAAAGGACTTGGGCCATCTTCTGCTGCTTTCCCGGGCACATTAGCAGTGAGTTGGGTGAGAAGTGGAGCAGCCAGTACTCAAACTGGTGCCCACATGGGATGCCATTTAGGGGGAATCTTAACCTGTGATACCACGATAGCAGCCCCCTACCTCCACTTCTGATTTAGAGTCCCACCAATGCACACCCTGGGAGGCAGCAGATGATGGCTCAAGTACTTGGATCTCTGCTACCACTCACACAGGAGATCTGGATAGAGTTCCTGGTTCCCAGCTTCCTCCTGGTCCAGCCCTAGCTGTTGTGGGCATGGGGAATAGACCAGCAGATAAAAGATATCGTGCTCTCTCTCTCTCTCTCTCTCTCTTTCTCTCTCTGTTGTTCTTTCAAGTAAATAAAAATAAGTAAATAAACTTTAAAAAATAAAATAATTATAAATTAATCACAACCACATATGCTAGATTCAGCCTTTCAGCACACAAAGTAATAAACATATTATATTTACATAGTAACATTTGTAAGAGAAACATTTTGATTAAGTCTTCCAATTAAAGTTAAAATAACATTATAAATTCATATCAATTTAAATATATTCTTTTCATATTCTGTGCCTAGCCATAAGGATACTAAAATGAAGCTATAATATTAAGAGGGAAAGAAAGATTACTATTATAAAACATCATCCAGTAAACGTCTCTCTACATTAAATTGCATATCCAACAGTTTAAGGAATATGCTTACTTATTAAAATGTTACTTATAAATTATTCATTCTTATCCTAACAATATTTTGTAGTTTCATTTTGTATGTTGCAGATTAGGAAGAACTCTTATTATGGAAAGACAGAATTTAAAGTAACTCCAATATGTTGTGATATAATTTATTTTGTTCCACAATGCTAACAATAGAAAATCAAACAAGTTCTTAAAAAAAGAATTGAAATTAGTTTCTCTCTATAATTGGTAGATAAATTTAATATTCAATGATAAAAATAAAATTATATCTATACCCTGAGTGATTTTAGTATTTTTACATAATAAATGAACACAGAAATGATTAACAGTTTGTAAATTTAGACAGAATAAATTGTAATGGTTTGAAATAAAAACATTTTTTAGAAAACTCATGAGAATCAGAAAGTTTTGACCATGAAATAGAAACTAAAAGTAGAAGGGCTTCATAAAGAACTATTAAATTTAATCAAAAATTTCAAATAAATAATATATGCTACTTTTACTATAAAAAAGGAACTATCAAATGGTCTTATATCTTTTTATATGAATCAATTATGGTTACCTTCTAGAAGTAGTAAAAGAGCTAATGATTTTGTTTTGAGATAGGGATTAACATCATCATAACTTTTGATATGTTTCAATATAAGGCTGATTTTGCCTACACTTGTGTATTTATGTTAAATATCAATACAAAATTCTTAGCTTTCAGAATTTTTTAAATACCAAGCTATACTTTATAATTCAAGCATTTCTCAATGATATTAATGCTCATCTTTTTCATACTTGTCTACAATAACATTTTATGTGATTTCAGAACCTGAATTTAAGAGAAGTGGGAAAAAAAGGAAACTTACTTTCACATTCCAGGTCACCACATTTTTTAAGGTTTGACAGCAGTTTTGTGCCCTCCAGACACTTTGTCAGAGAAACAACCAAAAGAAGGATTCTGTGAACTCCAAGTTCCGCCATGCTAAAACACGCAGCCAGGAATTCCAAGCGAGGTTCAATCAATAGTTTAAGTTGTAGACATGCCAGCCAAACAGGAAATGTCCTACTCTCTTCACTAAATATAAGAAAAAGAGTTTGGTTGTTTGATTTATTTTAATCCCTTGATAACTACATTGTTCCATCGCTGTGTAGGCTTAACTGCAGGGACAAACACTCTCTGTTCTCAATCTGCAGTGTCAGGTATTGAGATAATACATAAGAGTTTAATAATTAACAGGGATTTTTAGTTGGACTAATGTCTTATAAAGGCAGCTCACGTACAACTGTCTCACTTAAAGGCAACTTGCGTTCAACAGGACAGTTGTTAAACATGCCTCCAAAAACAGGTAGTTAACCTCTATTGTAGTTTTCAGCTTAGTCAGTCAACAAGTACAAATGGAATATTTGCTAGTTTCCTATTCCAGCTTCAATGGAGAAAGTAAAAAGTTCTCTGTAAAAATAGTAATAATTTATGTTAAAAGTGCGGTTTTAAAAATTATTTGGGGGGGGGGCTAGCGCCGTGGTTCACTTGGCTAATCCTCCGCCTGCGGCACCGGCATTTACATATGGGCACTGGGTTCTAGTCCCGGTTGCTCCTCTTCCAGTCCAGCTCTCTAATGTGGTTCAAGAGAGCAGTGAAAGATGGCCCAGGTGCTTGGGCCCTGCACCCACATGGGAGATCAGGAGGAAGTGCCTGGCTCCTGGCTTCAGATCGGTGCAGCGCCGGCTGTAGTGGCCATTTAGGGAGTGAAGCAACGGAAGGAAGACCCTTTTCTCTGTCTCTCTCACTGTCTATCTCTACCTGTCAAAAAAAAAAAAAAAAAATTGCGGGACCGACTCTGCGGCATAGTAGTGGGGTAAGGCCACCGCCTGTAATACAGGCACCCCATATGAGCATTGGTTCGAGTCCCAGCTGCTCCACTTCCGATTCCAGCTCTCTGTTATGACCTGGGAAAGCTGTGGAAAATGGCCCAAGTCCTTGGACCCCTGCACCCACGTGGGAGACCTGGAGGAAGCTCCTGGCTCCTGGCTTTGAATCTGCCTAGCTCCAGCCATTACGGCCATTGTGGAGAGAACAGCAGATGGAAGACCGATTCTCTCTCTCTCTGCCTCTGCCTCTCTGTAAATATGCCTTTCAAGTAAATAAATAAATCTTAAAAAAGAAATAATTTGAGGGGTCAGCACTGTGGCACAGCTAGTTAAGCTCTCTGCAGCAGTAGCATCCCATATGGGCACTGATTCCAGTTTTGGCTGCTCCACTTCTGATCCAACTCCCTGCTAATGGCCTGGGAATAGCATCAGAGAATGACCCAAGTGCTTGGGCCCTTGCACTCACATGGGAGACCTGGATGAAGCTCCTGGCTCCCTGGTTTGGCCTGGCCCAGCCCTGGCTATTACTGCCATTTGGGGGAGTCAACAAACAGATGGAAAATCTCTCTGTTTCTGCCTCTCCCTCTCTCTCTCTCTGTAACTCCAACTTTCAAATGCATAAATAAATCCTTAAAAAAAAAAAAAAAGGAGGGGGGAGAAGAAGAAAACTACTTGAAAAAACAATTCCACTTTCACAGTTCAAAGTGTCATTATGAACTTAAAATATTCTGCACTTAGCTTTTCAAGGTCTGCTGCATGGCTGGAAGTCACAGTGGTGCCAAACCAGGTGACCCTCCCCAGGCCTTTAATATTAATGATGATTAGAGTAGCTGGTACAAACACATCACCTGGGGATGCTGAGTACAAGGAGCTTTGTGATGACATTTTTTTGACAGGCAGAGTGAACAGTGAGAGAGAGAGACAGAGAGAAAGGTCTTCCTTTGCCGTCGGTTCACCCTCCAGTGGCTGCCTCGGCCGGCGCGCTGCGGCCGGTGCACCACGCTGATCCGATGGCAGGAGCCAGGTACTTATCCTGGTCTCCCATGGGGTGCAGGGCCCAAGGACTTGGGCCATCCTCCACTGCACTCCCTGGCCACCGCAGAGAGCTGGCCTGGAAGAGGGGCAACCGGGACAGAATCCGGCGCCCTGACCGGGACTAGAACCCGGTGTGCCAGCGCCGCAAGGCGGAGGATTAGCCTAGTGAGCCGCGGCGCCGGCCGACATTTCTTTTAAAAGCTGCAGTCTCAGTCTCAGTTTTTGAGGCTGACAAGGGACCTGCTGGCAGCTGCTTGGGGCCCAGACTCACAGCAGAACATCTTCTGCCTGTGTCTGTAGTGTGTGGCGTACCTGAACTGCTCTGCCTGAGGTTATCTCCAGTGATGTCACATGGGATCGACACAGCCCTGCCTCTGCCAACTGACCAGCTCTCAAAAAGAGAATGATTTGAAGAGCTCCGTGGGCTTCATCTTCAAAAGTAGCCAAGGACTTTGAATGACCGAGATTTTCCAGAAAACTTTTGGCAGTTAATGAAATCAGAGTCTTAACTAAATGCATTCAAAACTCCAGTTTAGGTCATGTGGGTATAATCTCATGTGACAGCAGGACTGAAAAGATGGCAAATTGAAATTAAGTGACGTAGTGACATACATACATACATACACTCTGTTGGGAGAGACTAGGGGGAAACAGATGCGTAGCCTCTAAGAGCATTTCTCAGAGGATTTCCTATGTAGTGCACGTGTCCTCGATTTAAATGTTGACGCACAAATAAAAGTGTGGGGTTCAAGTTGACTCACAAGCCTAGTGGATTTCAGGTTAAGAACCACAGTGAGAATATTTTATGACCCAGTAAACAAATCCTTAGGAGTCTCACAAAAATATTATGTAAACTGAATTACCCAGAGCACAAGCAGATGTTTTTTGTTTTCTTAGTTAACCCACTCAGCTGGTTTTATGTCTCAATACCAGGTTTTGGGACATAAAATACCTGGTATTGGGACATAAATTGGGTTTTATGTTTGCTATCCATAAACATCACTTTAGCACTTCAAATCTAATAAAGGATCGGTCAAAGTAAAAAAAAAATTAGTTAAGAATAATAGTTAAAACATAGTAAATGAGCTGGCATTGTGACATAGCCGGTAAAGCAGCCATCTGCGATGCCTGCATCCCATAGGGATGCCAGTTTGAGTCCCGGCTGCTCCACTTACAATCCAGCTCTCTGCTAATGCATCTGGGAAAGTAGCTGAAGACGGCCCAAGTGCTTGGACCCCTGCACCCACGTGGAAAACCCGGAAGAAGTTTCTGGCTCCTGGCTTCAGATCAGCCCAGCTATGGCCATTTGGGGAGTGAACTAGCAGATGGAAGATCTCTATGTCTTTCTCCCTCTCTCTCTGTAACTGCCTTTCAAATAAACGAATCTTTAAAACAAACAAAAGGCCGGTGCCGCGACTCAATAGGCTAATCCTCCGCCTGTGGCGCCGGCACACCAGGTTCTAGTCCCAGTTGGGGCGCCGGATTCTGTCCAGGTTGCCCCTCTTCCAGGCCAGCTCTCTGCTGTGGCCTGGGAGTGCAGTGGAGGATGGCCCAAGTTCTTGGGCCCTGCACCCGCATAGGAGACCAGCAGAGGCACCTGGCTCCTGGCCTGTGGTGCCAGCATCCCATATGGGCGCTGGTTCCAGTCTTGGCTGCTCCACTTCCAATTCAGCTCTCTGCTGTGGCCTGGGAAAGCAGTAGAAGATGGCCCAAGTCCTTGGTCCCCTGCACCAGTTTGGGAGACCTGGAAGAAGCTCCTGGCTCCTGGCTTTGGATTGGCTCAGGTCCAGCCATTGTGACCATTTGGGAAGTAAACCAGCAGATGGAAGACCTCTCTCTCTCTCTCTCTCTCTCTCTGCCTCTGCTCTGCCTCTGCTCTGCCTCTCTGTAATTCTGCCTTTCAAATAAATAAATCTTTTAAAAAATCTTTTTAAAAAATTGCATGCATATTTCTATCTGTTAATGCATGGAGAGAGGAAGAGGTGTCTGAAAAACTGTTGCCCCATTCATTGGGAGTATATAGTATGATTCCAAGAAGTATTAACTTTCTCCTTATTTTTCTATATTGTTTGGCTTTCTTCACACAAAAAAAATCAGTGCACATGTATCATTTTAAAATACCAAGAAAGCTATGAAAATCAAATTGTTTTAATGTTACTGTTGCTTTAAAAGAATCAAAACCTGGTATTGGGAATTGTTCAGTAAAACACTTGATCTTCTGCGCCTGCATGGGAGACCTGGAAGAGGCTCCTGGCTCCTGGCTTCGGATCAGCTCAGCTCTGGCTGTTACAGCCATTTGGGGAGTGAACCAGCAGGTAGAAGACTTCTTTGTCTGTCTCTCCCTCTCTTTGTCTGTAACTCTGCCTCTCAAGTAAATAAATACATCCTTTTAAAAATTTTAATAAATAAATAAAACTGGATCTTAGTAAACTTTTAGGGGCCACAACTATCCCATTTCAATCTTGGGGGAATATTTTCCCAAGCTCTTCTTTGTTGTATGTTTTCACTTTGCACTGCCTGTGTGCATGGGGCAATGCCCTCAGGTTAGAACTCGGCTCTTATACAACACCACACTCCCCTCTAGTGCCTGACACAAATAAGACAAATACCCAGCACCCAAACAAGTTAAAGTGAAGGACTCCTGATTTCAAGGCCCTAAGGAGGGAAGTGATTTGTTTGCTTGTTTCTCAAAAACAATGACCAGTAGGAAGCCTGCTCTCCCAGAGCTAAGGTTTTCACATCTTCTGTCTTAAGAACCTGATAGATCATGCATTTGAGGGTCAATTTGGCTTGCTACAGAGCACTGCTCATTCATACACACACATACACAAAAATTGTAGGTGAGTTTCTTAAATGCCTTCAATATCTAGATATTTACAAAATAACTCTGAAACATTTATTTATTTATTTTAGGAGCCAGCCTGTGGCATAGCTGGTTAAGCTGCTGCTTGCAATACCCACATGCTATATCAGAGCAGTGCTGCAAGTCCCGGCTGCTCCAATTCCCATCCAGCTCCCTGGTAAGATGGTGGCCCAAGTACTCATGTGGAAACCCAGGTAAGAGAGAGAGAGAGAGGGTGAGCTTAACTCACTGCACCACAATGCCAGCCCTTTTGAGAAGGATCAGTTCTTGAGCTTCAAATTTTGATACATAATTTCTATTACAAATCCAATGTGAAATCAAGCATAGTTAGTAATGAAAGTTTTTTATTCTTGCTTTGTATTCCATATTAAAGATATATGGCTAAATTCAAAACTATGTGAATTATGGTGTAAGTTAAGAGCAGT